AAAAAAAAATAAAAGTTATGTGACCGTGGTCTCTTTCTCCCTCTCTCTAAATACCTTATTGTACTGTATTTACAGTAGATACACATGTACAATAGATATACACATTCAGAGTAGATACACTGAACAAAGGGATTATTCACATCCCAGGTAGGACAGGGCAAGACAGAGCAGGACAGCATGAAATTTCATCATGGTACTCAGAACGGCATGCAATTTAAAACTTATGAATTGCTTATGTCTGGAATTTTCCATTTAATACTTTTGGACCATGGTTGGCCGTGGGTAACTGAAACTGTAGATATGAGGGAACTACTCTAATTAGCTATTTGGGTGTATCAGTTCCCTAAACGATCTGGTAGCNATCCAGCTAGTTACGTGCATATTTCTTTTTTTTTAAGATTTTTATTGGGGTATTGGGGGGAAGGGAACAGTGCTGGGGAATTGGGGAAGGGGAACAGACAAGTTGCTGTCCCTTTGTTCCTCAGTTTAGTTGTGGAGGATGTCGCTTCACTGGCCCATGTTGGTACTGTGATCATTGCACTCTTCCTGGCTGAGGCAGATTGATCGCCAGCCGTTGGATGGCCACTCATGGTGGCTCACGGCATCTCACGCCAGCTGCCACTGCTTACGCTGGCTGCCAGCCACTCACGGTAGCTTATGGCAGCCCACTGCAGCCCCACTACAGCCTATACCATCACCGGTGACTCATGGGAACCCAGCTCCAGGTCGAGATGTTGTTTGCCATTTTAGCTGTAGAGGGCAGTGTCACTGGTCCATGTGGGATCCGAACCGGTGGACCTGCTGCTCAGAGCTTGCACTCCCAAGCCAACTCAACCAACGAGCCACTCAGCTGGCCCCCTGGATCTTCTCTGAAGATTCATCTTCCTCTAACCTGGTCAGTAAGACTCCATCCTAGGCCCTCTTTACTTATTTACGCACATAGCTCACACACATTGCAGGGGCCACAGCACCATCTGACGCTCTTTCTGACATAAACTGGTACTTCTCCCCTCCCTCCCGCTGTGTGCTGGTTCCTGGAACAAGCCATTGTCCTGACCTGGTCAAACATGTAAAGCACTTACCCGTACCTGGAACTACTCATGCACTACTGGTAACTATCCCGCCTTGTTCAATGCAATTCTTTGGCGCCTTCCAAGCAGCACAGGCCCATTTCACCGGCAGCTACTCAAGATGTGCCTGGTATGTAAGTTTCCTTAATAAACTCTACTATTTACCAAACTGGAATTGCCAGCCTCTCCCGTGCATCCCTGTCCTCTGCTTATGGAGGTAGGTTTTGAGTCCCAGGACCTTTCCCTGAGTCTGCATGTACTAAGCCTCCAAATAGTACTGCCATCTTCACCTTGTACAGATATAGTTATTCTCAAGGGCAAAAGAGGTCACAACAAAATAGAAATGGTGCACATATTGACACGTATCAGTGAAAAATGCATTGTTTGAACCATGGCTCAAATAAATGAAAAGGAAACTTTATTACAGTTCCCCTCCAACCTCTAGCTTCATACTTACTACCTTTTTTGATGATCACGATTGCTTTTGTATTTATTATTCACGTCCTCAACAAACAGCTAACATTAACTACATTACTTAATTTTCATTTGCTTCACTGCAACTTCCCAGGATTCCATAATTTTGTTTTTGAATACTTAACTGTTTACATGGCTCAAAAATTTAAACTATATAAAAATATTTAAAAATAATTCTCACTCTCCTCCCTGAATTTATCCACTCTTCTTCACCCACCCCAGGCACCACTTTTGTTAGTTCCCCGTGTATTCTCCCCGTGTTTCATTTTTTAAAAGACAGCTTGAGATATACATCACATACCATACAACTTACCCATTTAAAGTACACAATTCAATGGTTTTTAGTATGTTCATAGAGTTGAACAATCATTACAATCAATTTTAGAACATTTTCATTATACCCATTAACATTCACTCAGTTGTTCATAGCATTCCCTTTCAACCTTTATTTTGTAAAGTCCACAGTGATGTCTTCTCTCATTCCTGAGCTTAGTAATTTGAGTTCTCTCTTTTTTTTCCCTCTTGGTCAATCTAGCTAAAGATTTTCCAATTTTGTTGAACCAACTTTTGGTTTCATTGATTTCTTCTCTATTGTTTCCCAGTGTTTCTTGTCATTAACACAAATATATATTCTTATTTTTCCTTCTTCCTCACATAACAGGTAGCATATTATATACCTTCAACACTAGCATATTCTGAAAGATGTATGTCAGGTGAAGGAAAATGATCTTAAATAGATCTGAGATGTAAGAAGAAATGAAGAACCACAAAAGTGGTAAATATGTGAATAAATCTTAATAAACATTGACTAATTAAAACAAGTATTAATGTCTTGTGAAACAGAAAATAAGAATAAGCAACAATAATAATCTATAAGTGAGAAATGAGTTAAATGTATTATCTGTTGGAGGTATTAACTTTAGATTTTGATGTTATGAATGAGTATTGGACACACACTCTTAATGCCTCCTCAGATTCCCCTGTTTGCTTTCTTCTTTCAAAGGTGCTGTCTGTCTCCTGCTCCACGCTGCTGCTGCTTTTGCCCAGCTTCCTGAGCTGGCTGGAGTCCAAACTGAAATACACCAGGCCTATCTGATCTGAGTTGCCCCTCTGCCTTTCAGAGTTGGCTGCAATGCCACACCGCTGAGCATGAGACCTGCCTTCCTAAGGAGTTACCAAAAGACCAGATGACAGTCCTGTGTGGCAAACCTTAGCCAATGGGAAATGGAAGTAGTTAGGAAACTACATTAGCCTTCCCTTCCTCCCTTCAGTGGACTGCTCCACGGGGCAGTTTCTCCTATAAGCCTTCTGGAGAAGTCCCCCACTCAAGGTGCACATACTTGCTGGGAGACTCCTACGAGTCTTCACAGCTTGTCACCAAGCCTGGCCACTGTGGAACACATTACATCAATTTTTCCTTGCCTCACTACCCTCGCTTCCCTGGATCTGCACCTCCCAAATAAACGAACAATACTTTCATCTTTGCCTCAGGTTCTACTTTGTAGAGGACCCAAGTTCAGGAAGTACGTGTATTATAATTTCTAAGGTAACCACTAAAAGAATAAAACTAGAGTATATAATTTCCAAACTAGTTGAGGAAAAATAAAGAATAGTAGAAAACAGTCAATCCAAAAAAGGCAAGAAAAAAGAGAAAAAACAAAGATGGAATAGTTGAAACAAATAGCATAAAGTGAGACAATAGATTTAAACCCAAATATAGATCAGTAGGCACATTAAATATAAATGGACTAAATGCTTCAGTTAAAAGATAAAGATTGTCAGGCCAAATACAATAGAACATAAAGTAAAATGTATGCACTAAAAAGTATTTAAAATTAATTTTCATAATGAACTTTGAGTTTTAAGAAGTTTTCCAATTAATCAAGCAGCAGAACTCAGGAAGACATACTATTCAGAAAAATCTCTAATATTAAACAGTTTCTTTCACTATTATGGTATACTGTGGAGTTCCAAGTAGAAAATTAAAGGCCAGAGCTAACAGTGTGAGATCACCATTTCTATTTCTGTAATATTTAACAAGCCAGGATTTTCTTTATAACTGTGAAAAAGGAAACTCTTCCTTAAGCCTAACTAAAATATGCACCTTAACCTTATCAAGTAATCAGATGAAATCAAAAACTATAGAAAGAGATAAGCAGCCCAAATCAGGCACTGAACATTCCTTTTATATACAGTAGTGAAGAGTGTGTCTCTAATATATTTCTAGTAACTTTTTAAGGGGTGACCACTCATGGCCTTTCTTCTAAGTCAGGCAGAATACTCTGATCATGTAAAAGGTATCTCCTATAAGCCACCAATAACTCTGTTGACAGAGTAGAAGGAAAAAGACAGCAGTTACCTGGCTATCTAGAGCTGAAATCTGTTTCCACATAAAGAACCAGTTGGGTTTAGGTTCAAAAAGTATGACTCCTGGGAGAAAGATCTGTTACTTTGGTCACATTATATTCTGTGTGTGTGTGCATGTGTGCAAACACTGTTAAAAATGTATATTCGGGGGCCGGCTGAGTGGCGCGTTGGTTAAGAGCTGGCTTACTTAGGACGCCAGAGGACCCCAGTTTGCATCCCACATATGAGGGCCAGTGACACTGCCCTCCACAGCTAAGATGCTGAACAACANTCCTTCCCCCACTGTAGGATAATCCAGCTTAGACCATGTGCTTCAGGTGAAGCTTACCCTGCTTCCATCCTGCTCCAGGCACAGGCAGGTAATCCAGGCCTGACAACAAAATACTTCATTCCCCTGGCCACTCTGACTGCTCATGGATGGGCAGATCATGAGCAGTCAATAAGAGTTCTCTCCAGGGCTTGTGCTAAAGCTACTGACTACAAACGTTATGCAGACTTGGGGCTATTAAATAGACATCTTTCTACCTCACAGAAAACCTATCAGAGAATAAAGCCAGACAGAGCTAGGACCCCTGGAAACAACTATATATGAAATCAGCCCACCTCTGAACATAAGCCAATAATTTCCCTTTTGTGCCTAGCTAGTTTGAAAGCTTTTTTGGTTACTCGCAACTGAGTTTCTTGGATCATTCCAGGCTAACACACATTTCACTTCTTACCGTCACAGTGAAAACCCACATATGATGAAAGTGTGTCATTTCCCTCATGTGTAATTGGTGAGGATGAAAGATTTGAGAATGACATTTAAGGGATAATGTTTATATTATATTTCATAAAATATAAAATAGAATTAGTGATGTAATTTGTAACAACACATATACTAAAGCAAATAAAACCTGCCATTATATTTTAAGACAATTTGTTTGGCATGCCATGTCAACAGGAAAAATACATAATTAACAATAACTACAATTCACTTTTTTAAATTCTTTGCTCTTTAAATTAGAGGTTTAACTATTTAAAAATTAATTTTAAGATTAAGTAAATTTTATCAGTGGATATAATAATTTTGTTAATAATTTCAAGATAAGAATGTATAGATCTTAAAAAAACACATTTGCTTTCATTGTAATACTATTCACCACTGTGCAGAAATCAATTTAAAACAGTTCATCTTAGATACTGAGAGTTTAATGGAGGGTTTATTAGGTGTTTCACCTATAGAACATACAGGAAGGCTTCATTTTACGTACTAGACAACCTTATGAACAGGGTTTGGTCAATAAAGCCAAGTCCTTGAGTCCTGTAAAGGAAATTTTATGCATACCTGATAGTTCTGTCAGTTTTTCAGCTCTTTTACCCTTTGTTACAATTATTCCAATCTGAAATAAAAACAAAACTGATTATTAATTTAACAAATAATTTCTTCTTGGTAAAAATGTACTAAAATAAATTAGTAATTATACAAGGAATAAGTAACATNAAGTTATAAGATCTTTACAAAGATTACATATACTGAAACTGCTAGCTTTTCAAGGGTTATAAAACTTCCTCTGAGCACTGACATAACTACTGAAAATTCCTTGTATTCTGAGATGTTATCTTACAGATCAATGACATATTTAAGATGACTACCCATATTTTGGACTTCAGCACATGAACTGATTCAAGTTTAATAGCTTAAAAACAGATGAAAACATTCCAATTTAATTAATAAAGTATTACTCCTTACATAGTAATTATGAGTAAATATTGAAGATTCTAGATATATACCACCAGTTTCACGAGCAAGGACAGTGCAAACCCGAACCTCTGCAGACAATCCAATAACAGACACTCTAATTTTAGCTGCCTTTAGCGTCTTCCTCAAATCCAAGTAAATGGAGGGTTTTGGAGAAGAAAAAAAAAGCATTGAACAATTAATATGTTTGATAAATAAATGTTCTGAAAACTAGTAATAAAGGCACTAAAAATTTTTCTTTAGAGTTGTAACTTCGGTTTTGATTATAAAATTATTGGTTCTACCTTGATTAGATCATAGATATTAGATGGATCGCATGTTGTGAGGCTGCTAAAGATGATTAGGACTTCTCTACTTGTATGTCCAGGCATGTGTCTAAAGATAAAACATACTCCAATTAAGCATAACAAATTATGCTAATGAAAAATTTACCTAAAAAGAATAGTACACATAATTTATATATTTAGACTATAGAATATCTCATTTGTTTCAACATTACAAAGGAATCGATTGTATCTCTAAACACCTTAATGTAAATTTTTCTAAAATTAACTACATACTTAAAAAAATTCATTGAGTCATTTATTCATTCAATAAATATTTATTGAATATTCTTTTAAGTTGTGGGGATAGAGTGATAAACAACACTGCCAAGGTTCCTGACATCATGAAGCTTACATTCTAGTAGATTTGTTTCATACAAAGTCTAAAATGTACATTAAGTATAATACAATAGTAATGTACTTCTTTTTTAAAGATTGCAATTTAACCTTATAGCGAGTCAGAGTCTTAATAACCATAAACATTAATTTTGTGTACCATCTAACTAAATGATGGCTTATGGGGTTTTAAGATGTGATAAGCTGTTCCTCTATACTAAATAAAAATTTCTATGCTTTTAGGAGCAATTTTATCAGTTATTTATAGCTTTCCTGTGTATAACGTCACTGTTAAGCTCTCAGCTTTTACTTGTGGATGCTGCTATTGTGCCTAACTTTAATACGTGTGTTGCCTCCTTCACATCTACTTTAAAACTATTAAAACATCTATTATATAAAGGTATAAAAATCTGAGTAAGGACAGACTAGGCAGGGACAAAATATATGAACTTTAACTATATTGAATACTTCCTCTTAGTCTTAGTATATTCCACATAGTTGAACTTGCTGGGAAAGAGTGCTATTAATTTACAGATTACAAAATAAGCTAATAAAAGTCAACGAATGTACAACAAACTCACAATTATTGTACCACGTTAAATTCCACATACAATCAATTCTCAAAATATTTTTCATCAACATATTTCTTTTGTACTAATAATGCTACAGTTTTAATTATATTTTTCTAAAACCTTTAATAATATACCTCACCAATTAAAATGTAAAATAAAAATTACTAACACCACACTAACCATCCTAAATGACATTAAATTCGTATGTATGTCTCTTAATAACGATTTCACTATAGTTGGGTTTATATTATCATTTTAACTTAACTCATTCAAAACTTTGAAATCAATTATACATAATCAATGTAAAACACTAACTTTAGAGTTTGCATAGCCATGCTTAAGGAGTTATAAAGAGATGGCTCTCCATGGCAGGTCATATCTACAGCTTTCTTCAAAGATGTTATGTGTTTCCTAGAGTTTCCTAAAATAGAAATGGAACAATTTACTTTTAATAAAAGCCTATATATACATTATGGAAATTTATATCTCTCTCAAAATTTATGTATCTATGATGTTAAAGAACAGAATCCCTTCAATTTACATTTTTAGCAACTTGCACTTTTATCAGAGATGTTTGTTATATAATGTCTTACTTCATACTAAAAAACAGAATACAGGTTAAGTCCTCACTGAACGTCGTCAGTGGTTCTNCCCGACACTGTGGGCAGAAATAGCCTCCCAATGTAAGCCCTGGCTCAGTGTTGCTATCCAAATGCCTGTGGGGGAAAAAACATTACTTTAAAAGCATGATCTATAAAGATGTAAACAGTTAAGAGCAAAGGAAAGTATGCCACCTTGATTTCAAAATCTTGGAAGTTGTTTCATAGCTCACGTATGTTCTTTTTTTTTTTCCCCTTTCTGCGTTTTTGTTTTGAATAGTTTCCATTACTGTCTGTGAATTCACTAATCTTTGCTTCTTCAGTGACTAATTTGCTGTTAATTTTTCATCTCAACATTGTATACTTCATCTCTAGAAATTTGATTTGGGACTTTTTTCTATCTTCTACCTCTCTTATCATACTCATGTTCTCTACTTTCCTGAACATATGGAGTCTAAATTAATTGCTCTTTTAACATCTTGTCTACTAATTCTATCAACTGGGTTATTTCTGGATATGTTTCCATTCTATGATTTTTTTTCCTAGGTATGTGTATTTTCTGACTTCTTTGCATGCCTGGTAATTTTTGATTGGCTGCCAGACATTGTGAATTTTGCTTTGTTTTAGGAAAATTCTTTGTATTCCCTTAAATATGTTGGAGGTTTTTCTGGAATATACTTAAGTAACTTGGAAATAGTTTGATCTGTTCAAGGCTTGCTTTTAAGTTTGGAAGGCTGTCCATAGAAGCTGTTAGTCTAGGGTTAATTTGGTTCCATTACTCTATTCTACTGGACTCTATTCAAGGTCTATTGTGATAAGAGATCTTTCCAAACTGACTGGTGGGAACATGGAACTAATCTCTGTCCTATGTAAGGTCTAGGGATTGTTCTGCCTGCTCCTCTCCACTGGTTTTTTCCCTGGCCCCTGGTAGTTCCCTCACAGGAATGTGTTGATCAATCCTCAGCGAATGACTCCTGGGGAAGTCTCTGTATATCTCAAGAGCTCTGTGTGTAGCTCTTTATTCTCTAGTACTCTGCCCTGCAAAATAATAGCCATTTTAGCTTCCCCAAATGCGGAACTTTGTTTCTTCAGCTAAGCAAGAGCTTCCAGGCTGTGTGTAGGGTTTCCCTCCTTGCACTGCAGCCTGGAAATTCTCTCTAGGCAGAAAGCTGCATTCATAGGGTCCACCTCATTTGTTTCCCTTCTTTCAGGGATTATTATCTGCACTACCTGTTGTCCAATGTCTGAAAACTGTTGTTTTATATATTTTGTTTGGTTTTCTGGCAGGAGGCAGGAAGGTAACTCTAGTTCCTAATATACCTTTATAGCTGGAGATAGTCTTATTTGTGATTTTTAAGAATTATTTTCTTAAATTTAATTTTGCTTTCTAATTATGTAAAATGTAAAGTTCCAAAGTTAAAACAAGATATATTTAGAAAAGTCTAAGGTCTACCCCTTTGCCTTTCTCCGCACATCACCTAGGTAAAAAAAATTTGTTTTCACTTTTTATTTCCATTACTATATTTATTAATATAAACAAGTATGGATATCTACTCAAATCTCCACCCTCTTCTTAGAGGATTGGTAGCACACTACACACTTTTCTCTACCATGTTTTACTTAGTAATATCTACTAAAGATTACTCCATAGGAGTATATAGATAGTCCTCACTCCTTTTTACAGCTATATAGAAGGTAAACTTTTACAAAAGTCATTACATTTCAAGCCCATCTTTTTAATTCACAACTTATAGAAGGGAGTTAAAAATGTAAAAATATCACCACTGATAGCTTCAAGGTTTTTACTTACGCCATGCTGTAAGAGGGTTTTGCATCTTGATCAGACAGAGAAGCGATGGTATGCTGAGGAAATCCTTTATAAAAGAAAACGTTTTACTTTCTTTTTCTAAGCAAATTAACAAGATTCTAGGGCTAGGATCCTAAAAATGTTCCTACAATAAAGCCCATGAAGTTGTACAAAAGTCCTCTTTTCTGCTTTTTAGATATGTTTATTATAGCATGGTCAGACTGACAGTAATTGCAGGTTACAAGAAAAATTAAAAGTAGAGGAAATAAGGGAAAGATCTGTCCATAAATATGCCCTCAGATGCTAAAGTTCATATCTATATTTTTTAATAACAACTAACATATACTGCTTTTTAAAAAAAAAANAACTAGACTGAAGAACAAAAGGACAGCAACTTGTCTGTTCCCCTTCCCCCAATTCCCCAGCGCTGTTCCCATCCCCCAATTCCCCAATTAAAAAATAAATAAATAAAAATAAAATAAAAAACAGTATAATATGGAGAAGTAACTTCTAACACTTCCAAACTAAATGCAGTTTAGCTTGTAAATTGAAAACAATTTAAAATACAAAAATATCTTTGTAGCAAAATTAGAATGCAGAATTACAAAACAACTGTTTAAACTATTGTGCTCCCTTGTTATCTCCATCTACTGTTATTACACTTCTAAGGAATAACCTGATATGAGCCTGGTCTTCAGAAATCTACTGAAAGCTTATAATACTATTTCCTCAATATTTCTTGTACAATATTTTATATTTAGAAAGCACACAAACTTACATGTTGGTCTTTCAATTGCCCCTGACATCCATAACAAAATCTGAAAAAGTTTAAAAATAATTTTGTTTAGAATTCATTCATTAAAATAACTCCGCAAAATCTCATTAACAAAATCCTTGAATTAATAAGTAATTTTACTTACAATTAACTTACACATGACTTTTAAAAGAAATAGTTAAGAATACCAGTAATTTAAGAAAATTCCACAGTATATCCCAAGGTCATCTAACAGTTGGCCCAAAATCTTCCTTTAAAAATAATTTAATTTTATTTTCATCAAGGTTAAATATGAACATGCGTTCTCAGCTGGGATTCTGAGAGGGAATTAAACCTTACAAAAAATGATTTGAGGGACTGTTTTTCAACTCTCCCAAAGATAACAGACAGCTGGTATGATTTTAGATGGACAGGAGAGAAGTTAACTTATTGCATACAATGGATGCCCATGGGCTTAATTTTCAAGGAATAGTTCAAATAGTTAAAAGTTCTCAAAACTATTACCAAAAAATGCAGTTCCCTGCCTACCCAGCCCCACTTCATTTCTGTTCACCACAGCAAACACTTTCAAAACTTTTAACTGTTTGATACCTATACTTACAGTGCTATCTCTTGGTTTTTTTGTAGGCATTGGCTATGAACCTCCCACTACAGATGATGAAAATTTAATTTTTTCAACCCTCTTGATCTAATACCATGTACATACATAACTAACATCATTCTCAATACTATGCAGTTAAATCATTTTGCATAGAATAGTAAGTGTTTACTTTATTATGACCATATAAACATACTCAGCTGAGCCATGTGATACAACTTTTCTTCTCTTTAAAACATTTCTTCCTAGAGTCAATAACTATAGTTATTCACAAGCTTAGTCTTCTCTGTAATTTCCATTAACTCAGTCCCAATTTTTCCCTGAGAAGTTTCAACTTCCCTGCTATGTTCAACTACGTCAGAAATTCATCCTCTTGGTGACATCTCTCCTAGACTATTCTGACCTCCAAACCGGACTGTTCTCCACATCTGACACACAAGCATCATTCTGGGATATTCCCCTTATCATCATCCTACGGCTTTCTTTAGCCACTTTTGAATTATATTGATATGCCTCTTCTCTTTCATTCATTCTCTTTCTCAGTTCCTTTGAAGCATCTCTTCCACAGCTTCCCCAGAAAGTCTCTTTTTTGAGACCTTACAAGTCTGAAAATGTCTTCAGTCTACCTACATTTAATTGATAGCTTGGCTGGGTATATAATTTAGGTTAGTAATAGTTTTCACTCCAAATTTTGAAAGAAATTGCTCCCTGTCGGCATCCAGTGCTGCTGATAAGAAGCCAAACAACTTAAATTCCAGATTACGTGACCTAATTTTCCCTTTCCAGAAATGTTCAGGGTTAGTATTCTGCTGCACATTCTGGAATTTCACAATGATATACTTTAGCATGGGTATGCTTTCCTTCAATTTGTCAGGAACCCACAAGTCTCTTTCAATCTTGAAAGTTCTGTCCTTTAATAGGAGAAAATGTCCTTGAACTATTTCTCTTCTACTCTTCATTTGATCTTTTCTTTATTTCTCATATAACTCTGATATTAAACCATTTGGATAAATCCTCTAGTGTTACACCATGTAAATCAACCAATGCAGATTGATTGATTTCCTTTTTGTTTCTTTTTGGANCAGAGCCCTGCTGCTCAGAGCTGGCATCCCAAACCAGCTCTTAACCAATGAGCCACTAGGCCGGCCCTCTTTTACCTTTAAAGTACATGTCAGTCTATTCGGCTTTAAGTCTTGGTCTTCCATTGTTCTTGATCCATCTACTACCACATAAAGATGGCGCATCTAAAGAAAAAAATACATATAAGGACAATTTTCAAATGCATTGTTGACCAAGAAGTAAAAATGGCATTTAGTATTCAGGTATTCTACATACATTTTTAATACACTGTTTTAAAGCGTTTATTGTTTTACTATTGCTTATTCAATCGCGCCAGAATGTTTCTCCACCCCAGAATAGTTCTGTACCAGTAAAGGAAAAAAACAACATACCATTCCAAGTCGAACTTGTCCATGATGCTCAAATACTCTGTTAAAATTATGCAAGCATTTTAATGAAATATCATATACTAGCCAAAAAATCAATATAACTTTTCAACTAACCTGCATTTTTTTCATGAAGTAAATTATTAATTTATGGGATTCACATAATTATACATATTTTGGATAGTCTCTGAAGACCCATTTCCCTGCTGAGGTGCTAGGTTGCTGGTTCCTTCCCCCTACTCAGAAGATTACAGGTCAGTTTCCCTGAAACACAGCTGAACTTAATTACTGAGGAGTGGGTATAGGTGGACAGAAAGGCTTAAAGGAATATATTTCTACCTGTTGTAACACAAAAAAAATTTACATACCTTTTTCTCTTTGCTTTGAAGAGAATGTCTTCTATTGTAGCTTTAAGTGATCCTGATTCATCTTCTTTAAGAATCTCCCTATAAGCAGTAATTACTTGTTTAAAAAGATAAGCTAAAAATTTATTAGCCCATGCAAAATAAAAGCATATGTCCACACAAGGATTTGCATGTAAATGTTCAAAGATGCATTATTCTTAACAGCCAAAAGTTGCAAATAATCTAAATGTCCTTCAACTGATGAATGGATGAATAAATCATAGTTTAACCATATAACAGAACTCGTTAGCAATGAAAATGAATTACTGATACATTTGGATGAACCTTGAAAACAGAATGTTAAATGAAAGAAGCCAGACACAACTGACCATATATTGCATGATTACATTTACATGAAATGTCCAAAAAGGGCAAATCTATGGAGACAGTAGATAAGCGGTTGCCTAGGGATAGAGGCAGAAATGTAATTAATTGTAAATGGGCATGAGGGATCTTACTGGAGTGGTGAAAATGTTCTAAAACTGATTTATGGTGATGAATGCACAACTCAGTAAGTATCCTAAAAACCATTGAATTATGTACTGTAAACAGGTGAAATTTTAAAAGGTGTAAAATATACTTCAATAAAGTTGTTAAAAAAAAATGTCTAAAAGAGAAGAGAGTAATAATGCCCTACTCACCATGTTCTTTCATAGCCTCCTTCCCATCGCTTAGTTCTCTCAGGTTCTTCATCCATTTTTTTCTTAAACGTATTATATTATTCAATATCCTATAAAAAGCATTAGATTGTGAATTTCTAAAGATATTTGCCACCAAATGCATACAATTAAACTTAAAAGTAGAGAGGGAAGTAAATATACAAATTAAAAAGAAAAACTTAGAATGCAATGTCATCTTATTCTTTGCAATTTATTTAACAATTGTTGTTTGGTGAAAATGCTTTACAAAATGGAACTCTTTTTCCCATTTCCAAGAAAGAAAACAAATATTTATGCACAAATTTGGCACCAATAGAAGCATCTTTTACAATTTAAAAAAAAATAAAAATGCATTCATAGGACAGGACCATAGAATTACTGGAAGTGGGATCGGGTGTAGATGAAACAAGGTTAGCCACAACTGAGACTATTATAGCTAAGTGATGGATACATGGTGATTCATTGGACTGCCTCTCCACCTTTGTGTATGTGTGAATTTTCTCATAATCAAAACTTTTTAAATGAAATTTATTATTTATAAATAGTAAATGCTTATAGCTCATCATTCAAAAAAAGGTCACAATATTAAACCTACTCTATAATCTTAACTATTGGAAGAAAAAGATAAAAGAAGTATTTAGTATTTCAATAAATAGGACAAATTCAATAAACAGGGTTCACCTGGATGATAGAATTCAGGGTGATTGGGTTTTGTTTTGTTTTTGCTTTATTCTTTTCAGTACTTTTCATATTTTCAATATGACCATGTTCTTCAATAATCCAGGATAAAATTGGTGGTGGGGGGGAACCTATTAACCATAACCAAGTAATAAATATCCCCAACATGTCCACACCTCCAGCCTCCTCAATGGAATCTCCTTCCGTACCCCACTCTCATTCTCAGCTTCCTTTTTGCATAAATGAAGGCTCAAAGGAATCATAAGTGCCAAGACATTAAGGACAAAACAAGTCCCACCATTGGCAGGAGCAAAGATTAATTTTTGTGATGAGGACCATAACCAAGAACTTACCCTCCATTTATATCATCATTTATACATATATATATATATATATATATATATATATATATATATATATGTCTAAAGAATTCATCTATAAATGGACTTCTGGAATTAAAATCTACTGACAGGTTGGAAACTGCTTTTACAGCATCACTGTTTTCAGTGGCACCTGCTATAATCAGATATTACTTACTAAACTTCTATTTCTCACTGAATTAAAAAACCACTCCCAGGCATTGGATTCTCATTTCAAGAAATCTGGTGACCCAGTTTAATATCCTGAAGTAAGGATGTAATTCTAACATCTGTGCTACTTTACTGCGTTACCTATGTTAATGCCTTGTAGGTTTAATGATTGTAGTAACATAGTATAGTGACTAAATTGAACATTTTGATCCTCCATACAAGTGTTTTTGTATTTATTGTGAATATCAAAAATCAAAAGCTTGGGCCAGCTGAGTGGCGTGTTGGTTAAGAGTTGGCTTGGGACGCCAGCTCTGAGCAGCAGGACCCTGGTTCGGATCCCACATTAGGGCCAGTGACACTGCCCTCTACAGCTAAGACTGTGAACAACAGCTCAACCTGGAGCTGGGGTGAGTCGCAGGCAAAGGCGTAGGCTGCAGTCTCCGCTGCAATGGACTGCCTTGAGCTACCATTAGTGGCTGGCAGCCAGTGTGAGCGGCAGTCCAATGGCCAGCGACTGATCTGCCTCACCCAGGAAGATCGCAATGATAATACCAACATGGGCCAGTGAAGCAACGTCCTCCACAACTAGACTGAAGAACAAAAAGACAGCAACGTGTCTGTTCCCCTTCCCCGATTCCCCAACGCTGTTCCCTCCAATTCCCCAATAAAATCTTCACACAAAAAAATTCAAAAGCTTACATGTTTTCAATGTTTTTAAATTTAAATTCTTAAAAACATGGCTATTGCCACCCATCACATCAATATTTAAATTGTTTTATTTTTAGTTTATCGCTTTGAATACTCTGAAAGTTCAGAAACAAATTGAGAACTGATGAGTAGAAACTGCAAGCGGGGACACTTCTGATGAGTAGAAACTGCAAGCGGGGACACTTCTGGTTCATTGCATATGAGGACTTTTTATTTAGGGCTGCATGCAACGGGAAATGACAGGGATAGGACGGAGGCATTAAGCTCCCCATAACTACAGACGTTCCGCCAGGAAGACAGAGGTTTCACAGTGCATGCTGTTAACAGAGAAGGGATTTATGTATTGCGTCCTAGAGTAAGATGTGCTTGGTGACCTCTTAGGTCAGTATCTCCAACGGCCTATGACTTCCATTTTCTTACAAACATCGCTGATCTGTTTCCTGGGAATCCAACCCCAAAAAAGCCACTTCCCCCAGCGTAAGCCTGTCGGTGTGATTCCTGTCACATGAGCTCAGAATGCTATCTGAAAACAAATAAGATCGGCACCAAACATCGCAATTTATGAAGCTTTTCCTCACACCTCATCCTGCCAAGCGCGGTGAGACAGGCAAGAGTGATTGATTACTGTTCTGTTTTTCAGGTGTGGAACTCGAGGCTCAAAGGTTGGTAACTCTCTCGAGGCCACATAGCTGGAGGCAGGTCACAAACTCGAACCCAGGATCACAATTCCCAAAACTCGCACTCTGCCTCAGGAAAGGAAGGAGAGCCATGCCCAGACTGCAGCCTCAGGTGCTTCCACGCAGCTGCCCAGACGAAAATTGCCCTCCTTCTCCACAGGCTCCCACACAGCCTCATTCCCTCTGAGGCTGGTCGGGGCCATTCAACCTCCGCCCGGGGAATGAAGGCCCTCCCTTGCCGCTGTGCTCCCCAAGCAGCCATTCCATTGCTGGGCTCCGCTCCGACCTGTGCCCGCGGACTCACCAGTCCCGCCCGACGCCGCTCCGCCCGGAAGCCGCTCTACCCAGAAGCTCCGCCCAATCCGCTCTGATGGCGATTTTGAAGTTCTTCCTCCGTGCGCAGTAACGACGCAGAAACGTTCCGGCTGCTTTGCAGGGAGTTTGTCGCAGCAGAGCGTTCCGGGGTCGCGGCATTCCCGGAACTGATTTTGAGTGAGAGGAGGGACCTCCTACCCTCCCCGCCCGCCCTGCCCCCATCCAGCTTATAGAGAAAAGCGCTGTTCGTTCTTGGAAGTTCGGGGGTGCTGGTAGCTGTCGACCTGGGGTCTGCGGAGCGTGATTTTATTTCTAAAAAGTTGGCATGAAGAACTCGGACCGCAGCAGCAGCGACAGCAGCTAGGTCAGCACCTTGCTGTGCAACGTTTTTTTGTGATGCCCCTGCTGTTCGTGCAACAAATATTTATTGAGCACCTACTTTGGGCCTGATACAGTTCTAGGCACTGAGGAAATAGCAATGAAAAATTGACAAAAATCCTTGGCCTCATGGAGTTGCTTCTGCTATGGAGATATCGAAGAGATAGTGCCATAGAGAAAAATAAGCATGGAAGGGGAAAGGGTTACAGTTTAAAACAGTGTGATCAGAGTCCACACTAAGACAGTTGAGCCATGGTCAGAATGAGGGAGTTAACCATGCTGATATTAGGGAGCAAAGGGAGCTGCAAGTGCAAAGCCCCAGAGGTGGGAGCGCATTGGTGTGTCTGAGGAAATGCACGAGAAGGGTGAAAAAGTGGTAGCAGCTGAAATCAGAGGTGGAGGACTCTGAGCACTGAGAACGTTAGAGGGATGATGATGGCTTGAACTAGTGTAGTATGGCAGTGCAGAAGCAGTTGGATTCTCATCTTGTTGATAGACCGGATGTGTGTTATGAACAAAGAACCAATGACCAAAAGTTTTCAGTTGAGCAACTGAAAGGCTGGAGTTGCAATTACTGAGAAGTTTGGGGGTAATACCAGTTCAGTTTTGGAAAAGTTTGAAATGCCTGCTAATACATATGGAATTAAATACTAGCCCCACATTTGAGAAATGGAGAGGCACGTCACCCCCAGAACACTGGGGAAAAGGTTAGGCCCAGGAGAGGAAGAGCAGACGTGGACCTGCAGGAGATGGAGCCTCTTTGCTTCCCTGTCAGCATCTGCTTCCCCTCTGTTGCTTTATTGTACCAGAATCTTTCCATGCGTTCTGACCCCTCAAAAACATCAACAGAAGCCATCCTGCACAGTAGTAGAAAGAACAGGCCTGTGTTTAAAATCATGATCTATCACAATAGCTGGGTGATCTCAAGCAAGGTACAACCCAAGTCTGACCTATAAAATGGGGATACGTCCACCTACCTTACAGGGTTTATACATCACATAGTGGCAGCTCCTTGTTTAGTGTTGGTGTTGTCTTTAAAAGGGAGAGGGGAAATTAGCATTGCTGAGTCTTTCCCAGTGCCACTAGCCTTCCATCTTTGCCTCCCCGACAAACTCCACTTTCTCCTTTTTCTTCTTTCCTTCTGTTCTGATTGACCATCCTATTCCAAGATGGAGTGCATTCCCATAGGACAGCCCCAAACCCAAGCTCCAAGTTTCTCACTTATGTTTACTACCCATCAGTCTGGGAACTTTTTCTTTTAATGGAAAAGCAGGAAAAACACAGAGGACTCTCCAATAAATTTAAAGCATATTTGTGAAGAGGAAGCTGAAATCATTCAGACTTTTCCAAATGTAAAGTTTACTATTCTCTGTATAGATTTTAGTCATAGATCTTAATCAGGAATGGTACTAAGCAAAACAAAATATGCATAAATCCATGGTAATCCCTTGCCATAATTATGACTGACTCAATATTCTAATTGTGTATAAAGTGGTAGAAAAAAATGACCTAACCTAGCCAAATATTTCAACTGGTAAAACTAAGGGACAACTATAAAGAATGGAACAGTTTGTTCTTTGCCATGGGTGGCTGGACACAATCCATGGGGTTAGGAAATTCATGAACAGCTCAGCCAGTAGAATCAAGCTAAAATTCAAAGTGTACAACTTCAAAGACTGGTAAAGGTGAACCTGCCTATTCCAACACCTTCAGATGGAACTTAAATCAAGAAGAGACTCAGTAAAAAAACCTCCAGAATTGCTTACAACAGTCCTAATAATCCTTATTTTAATATGTAAACTCTATTATTTTTTAAAGCATTTGTTCATCATCTATGAATAGTCACAATCCCAAGCCTAATGCAGTTATGTCTAGAATTCAGAATTTACACCCTAAAGCTATACCCCAGCACCAACGAAGCATATGCGGATTGGGATGATACATAAACTTTAAAGACAAAATTTGCTTTTTAACAAGTTGTTTACAAGTTTCACCTTCTGGCTTTGGGCGATAGGTATAAACTGGCCATATTTATTATTTACTTTCTGACAAGGACTGGTCTAAGTCACACATTAACTACCTTCATAAAACTATATTAGGTACAAATGTCTGTCTTACTAATAAGCAACCCAAGATACAGGAAGACTAAGTAATTTGTCCAAGGTCATACAGCAAGTACTTGCTGGAGGGCAAAGCAAGGACAAGAAAACATCAGGGAAGAACTAGGTCTTGTGACAGCAACTAGAATTTTGGGGAGGACACACTTCCACATTTTGTTCCACGTGCACACAAATATCGTAGTTATGAATGTGTTCTTTTTCTAACTCCAAAGTGACATTATTTTAAGTGTTTTCTAAAAACAACCAGTTACTTAGGCATTTTTATTTCTGGAAATTATTCCCATTAGAAGACATGTTAACAATATGAAACACAGGAGGAGGGATGAGATAGTCCTCCATCTAATTTGTGCTGTTAAACAAGAGAGGTTACAGGGTGAGTGCAGAACCATGAGCTGCCAGGATGAGACTGAATTGATTCCTCCAGCTGAGTCTTTAAAAATGTCCACTTGAGATACTTCCAATCCTAATGCTAAAGATGGGAGAATGTGTTTGCAGTACGAACTCCCATACCCCCAAACTGAAGCTAAAATCCCTGGAGCCAGGATTAAAGAGCTCTTCTGCCCTGACCCTAACACATACTCCTACATACCATACCCCCATTCAGGTCGTTACAGATACATCAGTATTTCATATGAAGCATTTCATTCTATTAAAAGTACTTAAAATGCACTCAAAATATGGTATATTATTAAAATCAGAGAGCAATTCTACCTTATCCAACCCATTAATTTATTAACAAAATCAAGCTAGAATGGGAGTATAGAACCTAATATTCAGACTTAGATTCCTAGTTTAGTCACTTGGTACTATGTGACAGTGGACCAGTTAATCCATCAGATCATTGGTTATCTTCTCTGTAAAATGAGACTGATTGAAATGGTTGCATGTCAATAGACGGTTGTAAGAATTAAGTGATACTATGTCATGGACGTATGTGTGTATGTGTATATACAATGTAACTTTTACTATAAATACTAATAGAATTAAATTTATTTCCAAAAATACAAAGCATATATGACAAAACTAACACTTATTTCTGAGTGGTGAGTACATACATGTTTATAGTTGTATTTCTTTCAATTTTTCAAAATAAAATATTGATCTTATCTCCTTTTAATACAGAATCCACATGTAAAGAATTCACTTTGTGCAATGAACCTTTATCACATGGACCACATTCTTTCACAACAAAATCTTGGAACAATGATATATACAGAAGAAAGCACAATGTAGACATAAGAATCACAGGTCAGAGATGGAAGAGCCCTCTGAAATCCAGTCTAAACCTCTTATTTTCCAGACTAGGAAACTGCTTGAGTGGCATTTCAAAGTTACATCCAGCTAGTTAATGCCAACCCCAACAGAAACACCCGGATTCTGGCTCCTGAAGTGGTCTTTAGTAAATACCACATTTGAAAAACGATTTTTTAATTTTGTTTTTTATTTCAAAGTCCAATTTTATGGCACAATTTTACAATGCAAACTTATGCTATTTGATCTTCTGCATTCAGCTGAAGTTTCATTTTGTCCAAACACAGGCAAGCTTGCCTTCATAAACTTACACTGACTTCCAAGAACAGAGTTAAAATTCTAACACACACAAAAATCAGTTAAGTTGCTCAAGAGAGTCCTTACCATTTGATAATGAAAAGCAGACTATTACCTTTTGTCATAAGTATGTACAGCACATGGAAAATTAAGAATTTCTTCAATTTGAAGAAATCAATCAGTATTATAATAGAAACATTACTTGAAAGTTTATCTTTGGAAAATGACTCAGACTTGTATATAAAAAATTATATACTTAGGATGAAAAAGGTGCTCTGTAATACATCTAACAAGTCCAGTACTGATCATAAATTCCTAACTAGGCAGGTCATGGTAGGTAGTCACGCCCCAGGCATACAGCTTCTTTACTAAAAGGCTATCTTTGCCTTAAGCAAGCCCTCTCCATTGTTTCTGTGCATTTAACTTAACTCACCTTTGAAAAGCCAGAATAATCCTCTTTTTCAGACCCCTCAGAGGGGGCACCCTCAAGGGAGCACATAATCTATTAAAATATCCTGTAATTCAATCCCTAGCTTGCTTTCTCCCACCATCATGTCATTTTCCTTCTGTTCTCTCCCTAATTCCAAACGCAAAAAAAAGAAACTGTAAAACTGTCATTCTTGGAGCATTTGAGATCTTGCTTCCTGGCATGTTGTCAGTTTGGCTCAAATAAATTAAAAAATCTCTACAGGTTTGGACATTTCTTACGTTGACATATGTAAGTGTCTGAATTGCATACTAATGATTAAAGATTATTCTTCAAAAACATTTTATAAAAACAGAATCCTAAGCTTGGGTGGATCATCACAATCAGCTTGGCTAGCAACATGCCCAGTACCATCAGCTAATTTTACTTTACTAATAAAAATATGGATTTTTTAAAAAGTGCTGAGATGTAAGGGCACAATTTGAAATAATTTGGGGTTTTGTGGTACTGCATTTTAGTTTCAGACCAATAGGCCTTCTTATAGCTAAAGGACTGGGAACTAAGCAACCAGCACAGCACCCAAAACACTGTAGTTTAAAACAATGACAGACACACTGCTGAGTGTAGTTTTGCACAGCCTTAAAAATAACAGCACTAATGACGTCAAACAGGTACATTAAAGAAAGAAAAGACCTGGTTTAATACCTTATAAAATATGTACAGAACTTGAATTCTTGTAAGATACATTTCAAGTTACAATTAAATTATAAATGTAATTGGATACTCTGATATAATGAAAAGGCCTAGTTGGTTTAAAAAAAAAGCATGTAAACCATAAAAGATTAAAAAGTATTTTAAAATACACAATAAATTTTTTTTTTTTTAGCTGAGCCATCCTGCCACCTGTTGGCAGCTCAGTGGTTGCTCAGCTCTGGCCAGGACTCAAACCGCTATTGCTCAGCGCTCAAACTCTTGAGTGAGCTCTTGACCAACTGAGCCACTCGGCTGGCCCCACAATAAAATTCTAACCAATAGGTTTAAATTTTGATTTTTAAAAAGTAAATATATATTTACAATCTTTAAATTTCATTTGTTACTTTTACATGATCTTTTTACCAAGATAACATAAAAAGCTCTTTTAACCATTTATACACAGAAAAAAATCAATAGGTTGGTAGAAAGCAACATCCTTAGTAGCTAAGATATGAAAAGGCCAAGAACTTTATTAATGGAGTCATAAAACAGACTTAACCAAAACTGCAAGCTACGAAACAAGCAGTTTCACGTCATTGTAGGGACCCAGTTTCCTTATCTGTAAAGGTATGATTATAAGTAACAGTTGCCTGAAGGGAGGATTCTGAGAGGATTAAATGAGATCACCTATTTGAACTAATGAAGCACTAAGATATGACTGTCTAGGGTGTGAAAGTTCACAGCACAATCCACTCAGGGACCTTCCTTAAAAGCTTAAAAACTTCAAACAATCCTTAGTTCTTAATACAAGAACCAGTATTTAAAGAGTAAAATCCTTAATTGGAGTGTTCAGCACAGTTGATTATCAAAAGCTATTTATAAAATGCTTCAATACTGATGATAATAAACTGATGATATTAAAGCTACCAAAACTTTGTAATGATCACAAAGCTTTGGCTCCTGGGTTAGAGTCCAAAGTCATTTTGCCTTCTGACAACATTGCAGAGACGTCAGATACTTCTTAATCTCTCAAACAACGTGGTCTGCCTTCTATGTTTTCCGTTTATCATAATCTCCAACCATCTTCTTAATGTGTGACAATTTACTCTTCAACTGCTTGCAATAATTCCTCTTACTTTTGTAATCTGCAGACTAAAAAGAAAAAAAAAAGGAACCAAGTAAATTTAACAAAATAAAAACAAGTTATATGTTAGCTGCTGGAAAGGCAGAGGTGAATGAAAAAAAGTAGAGCAGGAATCAAAGAATTGTTGGGAGTGGTTAAATGAAGAATAGATAAGGCACCTAGCAGTATGTCAAACCAGATAGGCAGCTGATTCTCTGCTCAATTATATCTTTGAAACTGAGTTTTACAAAGGATACACTGATTTCTAATAATTTGTAAAGTGACCCAAAAAACTTACTGACCTTTTTACTAACGCATCATCTAAAAAGAAATCAGGGGCCGGCCGAGTGGCTCAGCTGGTTAATAGCTCACTCAAGAATGCGAGCGAGCTCTGAGCAATAGCGGTTCGATGCTCAGCCCGAGCTGAGCTGCCGCTGAGCTGCCAACAGGTGGCAGGATGGCTCAGCTAAAAAAAAAAAGAAATCACAACAACAAACTGGTGATATCAGTTACCTTGGGAAAGGGGAACGGTGTAAACGTGGAATGAGATAGGAAACTTTACTACAATATATATACCCTTTTAAACTCTTGCATTTAGGAAGATGTTCTGTAATTTTAAAAAAATTTAATACAAAACCTTTTAAAAACAAAAAATGTTTTAAGTCAAGAAAGACTGATAACGGTAAGTGTTGGTAAGGATATGGACCAAGAGGAATCTACAATGCTTGGTGGAAATGCAAACTGACACAAGCCAGGGAAGCTGTTGAACAGCACCTACTATTCAAGGCTGGGTATACATTACTCAACGACCCTGCAGTTTCACTCCTAAGTATACACCTAACAACGTGTGCACACGTGTACAGACACTTATAAAAATGTGTGAAGCTGTATTAGTTGTAACAGCCCTAACTTGGAAACAACCCAAATAAATACTCATTAACAATAGAATAAGTTATGTTTTATTCACAAAATAACTAAAAAAATAAATGAACCACAGCCACATGCCACAATATGAATGGATCTCACATAGTACTGAGCAAAAAAAAATCATATACTCGTATATGATTCCATTTATATAAAATTCAAAATAGGCAAAACTAATCTATGATGTTAGAAGTTAAGATGGTGGTTACTTCCGGAGAGAGTGTAAAAATTAGGAAAGAGTACAAGAGAGCGTTGTCAGGGGTACAAGGAAATGTATTTCTTGATCTGGGTGCCAGGTATAAAGGTATATGGTTGCTTTGTGAAAATTTACCAAATTATACACTTATGATTTGTGCACCATTCTGTATGTATACTTCAACCTTTAAAAAGTTTTTTAAAAATCAGTATTGGTTGTTGCTGCAAACAACTGAAATTAAGTTTCCAACTTCTTAGTTATACTTTATCTTGTAATTATTGGGCCTTTTGTCTATAATCAGTGCATACATGACAAGGTATTCATAGTCACGCTAAAGGTTAAATAAAAACACATAATAGAAAAATTCTTCCTAAAAGAATCTTACAATCTGAGATACTTACTCCCTTCACTTGCTTCAGTCTATTGTATTCATCTGCAGCAGCCTATTAAGAGAAACACAAGGGAATATGTTTAATGGGGCATTTTCTCTTTCAAAAATAACATTTGTGATGCTATATTTTGAAGCTAAGACTGCCAAAAATACAGGAAATTAAAACAATGTCTTAAAGCTCTTAAAACTGTTATGGTCAACAGGAGGCCTGAAGGAATCCAGGGAAAAGAAACTGATGACCTATTTCTTACGTTCCATTCGCAAAGGCAGGTAACTATTTGCTCTGCTGCCTCTCACCTCTCCCAGTGCTAGTCCAAGTGCCATGCTGACACCAGAGACTTTTGTAAAGGACAGCTCTGATCAGGTTATATTCCATTCTAAAACCGGTCAGAGCTCCCCATTAACTGCTCTACTAATCTAGTTTCGCACCTATCCAGTCTTAGCATCCATCATTTGCAAGTCCTTTAAAAAATTAAGCACATTAATGCTTCCAGACTTCTATCATGGTCTCTTTATGGCTGTATACATGCACCCCTCCCCCATTTTGTCTGGAGAATCTGTAATGGTTACTTCTCAGTGAAGCCTGTCCTAAACTCTTCAGGCCTTCAGCAGATATTATTCCTTCACTGAGCAATTAGTTACAGTACTTTCTACACATAATGTGATACAGCATTAGTCACACTGTCTAAGTTGTTTAGATGTCAGTTTCTCTTTTAGAATATGAGCTTTTTGAGGGCTCACACCAGATTTTATCTTTCTACCCTCAGCACTTCCACATTATCAAGGATACAATAATGATCAATAAATGTTCACTGAATTGAGAAAGGCTTATGACAACACCATACAAAAGCCATAAAAGAAAATAACAGTTAAATCAAACTACATAAGAAGCAAATACTTCAAAACTAAAAAACAGATCACTCCAATTAAAAATGGCAAAGGGTATTCCATAAAATGAACATGAAGTTCCAGTAAATATATGATGTGATTTTAAAAGTTTAATTACTAATATCTAAGACACAAGGCAGTAATTTTTCAGGCACTAAGTATTAGTGATATGTAGGTCAAATGAGCCCTCTAGAGCATCATTAGCAGAAATGCAGTTGATATAATCTTTCTAGAGCAGTTCTGCAAGAAAAACTTAAATGTACATAACCTCTGATTCAGCAATTGCACATTCTGGAATTTGTTCTAGCTAGATAATCAGACAAGTGTGCAAAGATGGAGAGGTTCACCAGCATATTACTGGTACTACTGGGTGTGTGTGTGTGTGTGTGTGTGTGTGTGTGTGTGTGTGTGTNCAGAGAGGAGCCTGGGTGGCCAGTGCTCAAAGCCCAGGGGCCTTCCTGTGGGGAGGAGACCCAAGGGAAGAGGTAAGGGCGGGAGCTGCAGGCAGCAGAAATCCACACAGCAGGGCCCAAACCACTCCTCTTATCTGCCATCTGCTCAAGGAGTTCCTAGTCCTCACCCCACATTTATGCTATAAAAGGGAAAGATAAGACAGCGGAAGGACAGACATGCCCTGGAGAAGCACATCAAAGCAACCAAAGAATGACTCAGACTCACTCTTGAGACTAAATTCAAAACGGACAAGCATTCACACAGACTTTGTTTAAGGAAGACCGGGGAAAAGTTTTACTAAGATTCATATTCCAATCAAGGAAAGTGTTTCTGAAATGTCAAAATGAAATAAATTCAAATGAAATAATTTCAAAAGATCTTCACAAGGGTAATTACAGGGACGAAACTGTATTCAAATTTTAATTATACTCCCAAGTGTTCTGATTTTATCACTGTGAAAAAAATATTTGTAGCAACATCTAACACTCCTTGGAGGGCTAATGAAAACATCCTAAATCCCTATGGGGTGCCAAAAGGGAAACAAAGAGGGTAGTTTTAGAGTGGCTCTCCTCCAAACACCTGTCATTATTGTACCTTCCTCATCTGGGACCAAAATGCATCTACACAATTGTGTGGAGGCTACTGACTCATGAGCAGCCTCCTTCCCTGACTTCTGTAGGTCAGAGATGGAATAAAGACGTCAACAATGTTTCAGGTCCCTTTGGAAAAAACTCTTCACCCACCAAAACAAAGTTTAAGGAAAACACTTCTCTCCATGCAAAACAATTTCATATGTCATTTGGAATTAGTACAAAAAGGAGCGATGACAGCCATTCCCCATTTTTCTCTTGGCCCTGTCTTCATTCTTAGTCCACACAAGGGAAAAAAAGTCCGGCTAGACCTGCATCCAACTGGTGTAGAAATTTGACACAAAGTCATCCACCTCTAAGAAGGAAAGGGGGAGTTCATGTGTTGAGTGATGAGACAGGGGGATTGCAACGGTGGCAGTAAATCTTCTATTTTGAGATTTGGATCTCTGATATAATTGGAATTAACAAGTGTAATTTAGCTTGGGACTTTTTGAAAGCTTTCTTTTCTTTCTTCGTTTCCTTTCTGCCAAATGTTAATGATTCTGCTTCCTATACATTTACTACACATACCAGGTTCAATGTTTCTGTTTACTTCAGCGCAATGCTGGCCCTGTGACTTGAGAAAGGTTTTACATCTGTACGGGATCCACTCCTGGCTCCAACTTAAATATAGGTAAGATAAGCAAAGGCTGCAATAACCACCTTTACGGCACCTTCCCCCACCCCAACAGACAAAGCCGAACTCAATAGAAAATTCCACTACAGGCCGAAGAAATTTACATCCTGGTTAGAAAAAATAAAACTTGAGACGAAAGGAAGGCTGGAGGCAGTGGCTTACAGCTGACTGCCCAGCTGACCCTCCTTACTTTTTTCACAACCCGTGAGCAAGCAGCCACAACACTGAGGATCCGTCATGTGCCAGCTAAAACCTCACCTTATTTATTCCTCACCACTGCCTGGGTAGATACAATTATCTCCCTTTTCAGATGAGAAAACTGAGCCTCTACAATTAAATTAATTTGCTCAAGATCACACAGGGGGTGATGTGGTAGCGAGGGGATCTGAACCCTGGTCCACCTGGCTCCAAAGCCCAGCTCTTTCTCACGTAACAAACTCACCTCAGTAATGTAATATGGCTTGAGGTACCCATCTTGTCTGGGTACTGACTAATCCCGGTAACAAAAGGAATCACTTTCCTTGTATTAACTCCTCACCACACCCTAATGAGATGTGACATGAGGAAGAGTCTTATTTGCCTATTAGACTAATGTTGTAAGAGCAGCTTTTAACACAAAATCACAATGGATATGTGCTTCGGTCACCAGATGCCTTGGTTAGGTCAGAGTGTAGGAATACCAGCCTCAAGAGGGGAAGAGAAGGGCTTTTCCTGCTTGGTAATTAAAATGGAGAAAGACATCAGCCATCAGAGGGAGGAGCACCTTGATCTCACAGCACCATCTCCAGTTTCACAACCTGCGGTCCACCTTCACTGCAAGTTCTCAGGACAGGAAGTGGTCCAACTCGTTTTTCCCGTTTTCTGGTATTTTACACCCACAGATCCTCCTCCAACAAGAGCCTTCAAATTGCCTCCAAACTGCCTCTGGGAAATTCCCTCAGACTTTTCTCCACTCNCTGACATCACCAAACCCTTCTTCCTCTACGTTCATACATAAACATACAGGAACGGCAGTAGGAGTCCTTACCCAAGTGCTGGGCGACTGGCACTGGCCGATAGCCTACCTGTCAAAACGACTCAACTCAGTGGCATTAGGATGGCCACCTTGCCTGAGGGCACTTGCAGCAATGGTTCTGCTTGTGTCTGAAGCTGACAAGCCGACCCTAGGTCAGGAATTAACTGTCCGGGCTCCACACTCAATTCGAGCCCTGTTGGATCATAAGGGACATTATTGGCTTACCAACTCCCGGACTGCCAAGTACCAAAGGCTACTATGTGAAAACCCACGAGTCCACCTTGAGATAGTACAGACCCTAAACCTAGTTATTTTACTGCCTGTAGGGCCTGGGCCCCCAGACCATGACTGCATCGAAGTCATGGACAAAGTGTTCTCCAGTAAGCCGGACCTGATTGACCAACCTCTTACAGACCCCGATGTAGAATACTACACTGATGGTAGCAGCTATGTCCAGGGCAATAGACGGTTGGCTAGATACGTTGTAGTAACTCTACACACCATCAATGAAGCAAAACCCCTCCCACAGGGGACATCGGCACAAAAGGCGGAGCTCATCGCCCTGACTCGGGTCCTTCAGCTAGCAGCTGGTGTAAGAGCCAATCTTTATACTGACTCTAAGTAGGCCTTCATTACCCTCCATTATTCATGGGGCTTTATACAAGGAAAAAGGATTAATCAATTCAGGAGGGAAGGAGATCAAATATGGACAAGACATTCTAGATCTCCTAGAAGCAGTATTGGCACCCAAAAGGGTGGCAGTCATACACTGCAGGGGCCACCAAAAGGGCGACACCATCGTAGCCCGAGGCAATCGCAAGGTGGACCAAGCAGCCAAGTTAGCTACAGCTGAAGAAACCCTCAAACTTCCAATGTTAACAGCCTCCCTCTTTCCCAGCCCTTTGGCCAAGTGGGATCCCAAATATTCCCACCAAGAAGAGGCCTGGTTCGAGACTAAAGGGAGAAGCCATCTCTGCAACGGATGGTGGGAATTTTGAGANGCGGCTGCTCAGCTCGGGCTGACTCGAACCGCTGTTGCTCAGAGCTCAAACTCTTGAGCGAGCTCTTAACCAACTGAGCCACTCAGCCGGCCCCTGTGCTATTTTAGAACTGCCACAGTTATTGGGAATAACTGGGCCTTGCCAACCAGAGAACTCCCCCTCCCTCTTCCTGGCCCCGAGGATGACAATGATCCAAAAAAGGCCAAGGTTTGATATGTAACCTTTGGGGAGGGAATTTCCATTTTCTGAACCCTGGACTGGAAGATCAGTGTAGCTTGGGGCATGGGGTGATGATCCTGTTTACGACAGCAACAAGATACCTGATAGCTTCTGACTCCTTGGATCATGCTATGCCTGAAACTAGATCCACCCCTGGGCCCTATATGAAACAGTGAATTTCTACAACTTGCACAAAACTCCAAACAGATT